ACACACACACACACACACACACAGAGGAATGGGGCTGTTGGTGAGGTCTGTGTGTGTTTGTCGTATCCGTAGGTGCTGCTGCTGGATGAGACGCACAGGATGTTCTTCATGGATACAGGGAAGCAGATAATATCGGGACTTCTGGCCAAAGCCAACAAGGTGCTTCAAAAAAGAATGGAATAATTAAAATGTTTTTATGATTTTGAAAGCAGTTTCTTCTGCTCACCAAGGCAACATTTATTGATCACAAAATACAGTAAAAACGGTAATATTGTGAAATATTATTACAATTTCAAATAGCTAGTTTTCTATGTGAATATATAGTAAAATGTAATTTATTGCTGTGATCAAAGTTGAATTTTCAGCATCATTACTCCAGTCTTCAGTGTCACATGATCTTCAGAAATCATTCTAATATGCTGATTTGCTGCTCATGAAACATTTCTGATTATTATCAATGTTGAAAATAGTTGTGCTGCCCAATATTTTTGTGGAAACTGAGCTTTTCTATCAAAGGAATAAATTACATTTTATTTTGTAATAATATTTTACAATATTACTGTTTTTATAGTTTTTTCATCAAACAAATGCAACATTAGTGAGCAGAAGAGACTTCTTTCCAAAACATTAAAATCTTAATTATTTCAAACTATTGGCGGTAGTTTTTATATAATTTTTTTCCCTCATAAAAGAACATGCGTTGACGAATTGTGCACATTATAAGACTAGAGACAATTAATAAATGAAAAAGTTATTTAAAACATTTTTATCTGTTGATTTTTAGATTGAAATGAGATTTATCATCTACTTTCACGCGTGTGTGTGTGTGTGTGTGAATGTTTAGAGTCCGAAGGCGTTTCTGGAGAGTTATGATGACATGCTGCAGTACACACAGAGAGAGGAGACGAGGCCCGTTACCAAGATGGAGCTGGAAGGACGAGGGGTTTGTCCTGTTTGTCTGTCTGTCATTCTTTCTTTTATCGTCCAGTTCCATAGGCTAAATTATATTCTGTGTTGATGTCTGATTTCAAGCTGGTTTTCTCGACAGTTGTTATTGTTAACTAAAACTTCCTGAAATTCATTTAAATAAAGTTTAAATCAAATAAAATATAAATATTAGATGAAAAATGCAAACTTAGAGTAAAATAATAAAAATGACAAAAAAACACAACAAAGTTACCGAAACAAATGAAGACTGAAAATATAAATACATTTAAATATTAATAAATACTATAATAATATATAAATAACTTCCTGGCTCTCTGTTTGGCCTTATAGAGGTTTGACCTTTGACTTTGCTCTAGGTGGTCTGTATGAACTTCTTTGACATTGTGCTGGACTTTATCCTCATGGATGCGTTTGAAGATCTGGAAAGTCCTCCGTCTTCAGTGGTGGCCGTTCTAAGAAACCGATGGCTCTCGGACAGTTTCAAAGAGACGGTACGCAAATGTTAGCACTCCAACTCGAATCCAGACATACTGGATCTACAAAACTGAGAATAAAGGTTCCATTTAGAACCAAAAAGGAGAATAAGATTGTTTCTTAAAGGGTTAGTTCACCCCAAAATGAAAATTCTGTCATT